GATGGAAAGTTACGTAAGTTTTCGTAGGCCTTTTCGTAGGTCTAGCATTTTTGGACATATAAACTGATGTATAAAGAACATGCCACGATGCACCGCAGCTCCTTGATTGCATGCAGGTCCCAATGAGAGAAGGAATGAATAAAACAGCTAGGTTCACTGGAGCTACAGCCCCGTGATTTCAAAGGACATTGCCACCATAACATATCCCTCAACCAAACATGGAGCTATCATATTCTTTGAATATTTCTAGATAATTTGAGGAGGCAGCAGTGGTGGTGGCACAAGAGATTCTATAGTGTAACTAACTCTATGCCAGATGTATTACTGTTTAGAGAATCTTAGCAGCCGGCAGCTTTGCTAGGAAAATTTGCTTGGCTGTCCAAGCAAACTAAGTAGACATGACATAGCTTAAATATTTCTCCTCAGTTAGTATTTGGATAACATATTTGCGTGCATCACCAACGATCCTAAGCAACTGCAGTTGATAATTATGCTTTTTGGCTGAAATTAGCAGATCCAGAATACTTAGGTCTGAACCAATAGAAGTACAAATAGAAGTCAAGCATAGTACCTATCAGGATTCATTCCGGTAGCAGAAAAGGCACCCATTGCTCTATCAATGATATCCAATATGACTTGATGCACATGTCTAGACAAAAATCGACCTTGTCCGAAGATGATGACAAATTGCATATCCAGGTAGAACTGCAAACAAAGGAAAAAAAATTGTGAAACAAGAGTTGCACCTAAAAATAAGATAAATAAGTAATGAATTTACCTGCTGAAGACCAAGGGGGCCCAAAGGCTTTGGTCCCTGCTCGATCTCTTCCCAGAAGGCCTGATCCTCCGAGAGCCAAAGGATAACTGTCTCAGTGAGCCGCATCATTAGCAAAGTAGCAAATCTTTCTCTACCAACAAACATATCTGCAGCAACGCCTGCCATCCTATTTAGCTTTGCATACAGTTCCTGCAATGAACAGCACATAAGATTAGACCATATTGTTTTGGAACAAGCTTGCTCCATGCAAAGAAAGATAATTATGTTTGACAAGTTGCTGCATTCTAAACTGTACGAGAGTACATTGAATACAAAGGACTAAGATGATGAAAGCTAACATACTGACACGATTTATAACAATGTGCTTGGAATATCACAATAAACGTGCCTTTTTTCAAAATTGTCTATATGTTTCATTTACTCTAGTCACTTGCAACCCCTGGATCATCCATTCCATGTCATCAGTTAATTTTAGTTATAACTGTCCTCCAGTTCTATAAATCACCAATTCATGATAGAATGATAAACAAAAAATACATATAAAGAACTAACATGACCAACTGCACAAACAATGAGATAACAATTATTTCAACGTATCACTGACTGCCTGAGGCACTGTTATCCCTAAAAGCTAAAGGATTTGCAAAACAAAGGTAAGGTTCAGGGATCAACATAAATAACACAAATGGCATACGCACTTGGGTTTAAGTTCTCAAGAGACAATAAATAGTTGCAGCTTGTAAATACCTGGAAAATTGGAGATGGGACCCACTCTGGCTCTTCAACAGTATTATCCATACTAATATACATTTCTGCACTGAGATGGGTATCACCTTCATCTGTAAATATTAGTTCAAGAGCATGCTGCCTGCAGAAACTATCTCTCAACCTGTCCACCATGCGTTGTAATTTCCTTTTCCATTCTCGTAGCTCGGGCACACGGTTTTGCTTATCTGGTCCTCTTTTACGCAAATCATCCATGCTGGACTGGTTTATAGATGACAGCTTCATAGCTGCTCTAGGTAGCAATTCCTCAGCAAGTAAAGATGCATTGGCTAATAAAGCCAACTGCTGTTCCTCAGTCTCTGCCATTAAAATAATCTTATTGCCTAAACCATCTATGTTAGCTTCGTCATCCATTGATCCAGGTAATGCACTTATGAGCAGATTGATGTACAAGCTGAAATTTTTTGCAATCCCATCCATTGTTGAACCCCCTAACTGCAAGCTAAGGAGTGGTGTGACATCCTCAAAGTAGTCCTGAAATTTCCAGGTATTATCAACACATACTGCATATAGTCATACACAATACTTGAAAGGACAATGATACAAGATAGTCACCGCTATCAAAGGAACCGAGTGCAATGGAAGCAGTATGTATCACAAGATCTCTTATATGCATATGTGATGATGTTTAAGCATGACTAACCAATATACCAGGGAAGCCAACTAGAATTAAACAATTCTAGCTATCGCAGGCTGGGACTTTAGTATTACTGTAGTTGATGATTATATGCTTCCAGCTTCTGCAAGACATTATATGATTTGAATTTCGTTGGGAAGCTCTTTGATCTTTTCAACCGCCCGAATGACTGCAATCCTACTGTATTAATATAATGTGTTGTAGCTAGTCTAAAGAATATAAGGAAGGAAAAAAGGATAAACAATTAAATATTCTCATGTCTTTGAACTTCAAAGGCCACATTAATAAATTTTAATTATATGACCCATGAAACACCTACTTTGGTATCAATGTACTATGGAAACGCAATACTTCACTTAAAGCAAACAAAAATAAATAAATGCACTTGACAGGGTCTCCTGTAACATTTATAATTCAGCTATTTCATAGGCTAGTCGAGCAGTTTTTCAAGCCTATGGCTAGTTGGTAACTAATCACCTAGCTTGTCAGGCCAACCAACTACGTTCAACAACTTGCCTACGGTGATCCTCCAGGGACCTTCTGCTGCACCTCCTAATCTGGACAATCCACAGCTACCGCCACCAGCTCCAAGACAAGCCACCAACTCAGATTTCCGCCTTCCCTACATAACGACACCTCTCCTGGCCAATACTCAGGTACTCCCTCCTGTTTCCCTACCCATCCCCTACCCTGGGTATCTCCTGCTCTTCTCTTCTCTATTTCAACCCCTGCTCTGCTCTCGTGACTAGTCACCTAAGTTGGTGGGGACTCGACTCGACTAGGTTGAAGACCTCGTAGTTGAGATACCCATATAGTGACTACTAGAACTACTCCCTCCGTCCCAAAATAAGCGTACAACTTTGTACAACTGGTTGTACAAAGTTGTACACTTATTTTGGGACGGAGGGAGTACATCTTTGTGCGAACAGAAATTCAATCGCTCAAAACAAATGTTAACTGAGGTCGCAACTCCACACACACAAAAAGGGGTTGTGGCTATTTGTTGTGTAGTACCAAGCATGCCAAGATGGATAGGTCACTACCATTTTGATGAAAACAGCAAGAAGGAAAGATTCGTTCATTTTGCTCAAACAAAATGGATCAATCGTTACCTGAACCATAGAATTGAAACGATGTGCACTGCTCGAGAGCTTTGGTTGAAGTGCCAAATTAGCAACAGAAGATCTAGCTAATGGGTGAATACCATTTGGGGGATAAGTGAGTGTCCAGTTATCTGCTGCAGCAAGTGCAGCAGTACTCTCTTCGATTCTCCTCAAGTTAGCATCTAATGCTTGCTCAAGACTGGGCTTGAACTGCTTCAGGAGGACAGCAGAAACAGATAGACCACGAGCTTCCAGCAAGGAACAATGGCCAATTGATATTTGAACACATTCTGCAGCTGCTCTCAAGCCTCCAGCGGCTGCACAAGAAGACAACACATGCCTCTTTACCAGGAGTGCAAAGGACAAAACCTGCTGTGTAGCCCATGTAACCAGCTCAGATGCATAACATGACTCATCGCCAAAAACTTCCACAGAATCACTGAGCGCCTGAGCTACAACTGAAAAAACTTGCTGAGCAAGTGCAGCAGTATATGCCCCACCATATGAGGTGCTTGACGGATGTATTGTTTGCAAATTACATTGAAGCCTTTGATTATGTGCACTGAGTAATAGACTGTGAGCTCGAGGGCCATCACCAAGCCTTTTGAGAGCAGAAGCGGCAGCACGGAGCTCAATGCCACGAGTAGAAGACTGACAGGCAGCTTCAGCAAGCTGGTCTGCCAGCTTTTGACGATTATCAGAGACGGCACTTCTCAAAGCCGAAATTTCAGCTGTAGTTAGAGTTTGTGTCCGGTCTGCAGCAACTCGCTCCGCTTCATCTAGTGCATCTAGCGCTTCATCCACTCTTCTCTCAGCTAGCAAAACATCAAGCATGTCAGGGAAATCTGCAGACCATTTCTGTATTTCTGAAGGCTCCTGGCCTTCAACATTGGATATGTCCTCTTCTGTAGAACCTTCAGTACCCGAAGTCAGGGAATCTATCTGAACTCCTTCAGATAGACCATGGATTAAAGCCGCCTGTGTATTGAGTAAATTTCTAATTGACAAGAGCTCGCCTTCAAGGTCGGATATCTCCTTCGATGTTCTGATGACCAGGAGATCAGTTATCAAATATTAGTGAGGAAATAATGTAGTAACAGGAAGAACAGAAATAAATGGAAGTAATTATTTTAAAACAAAGTCACGCATGCAAATTATGGTCTCACATGCCACAAATTAGACGCTTTGCACATCAACTATGCACCATGAAGAAAATGATACCACTACATAAAGACACATGTAGTGGAACTCTTGACTGCAAGAGAATGGACTTTTCTGATGAGGACAGAAACAAAACGAAATACATGATAGCCAGCACTCTACAGCATTTATTTTTCAAACACAAAGGATGCATATGTAAAAAAGAGGAACTAACTGGCTATATTAAGTGTGATTGAGTAATTGTATGCTACGTGTTTATCAAACAATTTTCCAACCATCCACTTACTACTCAACTAACAAGTTAGGAACTTTTTTACCTAAATGTTATTTGCATATCGTAGCCATCCCAGAAGGTTTAATGAAATTTCTCATAACGAAGAATCTGCTACGGTAAAACTAAAATAGGCAATGTTTCCGCATAAGCATTTTTTATTAATGCAACCCAGCCTGAGACGGTAAAACTAAAATAGGCAAATGCCTCCGCATAAGCAATTTTTATTAATGCAGGAAGTTTCATACAAAGATATCAGTGGCGTTATATTGATTATTGAAGGACCAAAATGCCTTAAGTTGTTCTTCCTGTGGTACTGATGCAGCACATGACAGCGTGGGTGGAAACATTGGCATCAGTAATTAGAAAATACCACTATCATGATGTGTCATACAAAATTTAACGAGAGTAGAAAACTTTATTGGCAACAATAAATAAACTATACCACTCCTGTAATGTGACATCAACTCATCATGATTGGTGGGGTTCATTTCTAGCACAAAGGTGACAAATGGATAAAGGCACCAAATGAAATTGCACTCATGGGGCTACAGCCAGACCTGATGAATGCAGCATAATTTGCATAAACACTTCTGCGCATTTCTTCAGCTGAAGCCTTCTTTAGATCTTGCAGATAGGAGCACAAATGTCTTATTTCCTGTAATGAAGTTGATTTGCTCAGCTATTTTCGTTGTGCATTTTAACACGTACTCATAGCTCTGGTACAGTTTCAATAATGTTGAAGGAAGTCAAGCCTAAGGAATATAACCAATAACAAGCTCAAAAGAGAAGGAAAATAGATAATTAAGGACTTGCAAAATATTCCCGTGAAATGGTTGTGCAAATTTGCAAGCAAATGCAGAAGTTTCAGCTGTTAAACGAGAACAATTGAAGTATGGACGCGAAGTGAGTATTTTAACCGAGGTGAGAATGCAGTTTTTTTGTGAAAACAAAAACTGCACCAGCAGCCTACATTGTAATGCAATACGACATATTTAGATATACTTCAGTGAAGTGGTTGTGAATCTTGTTATCCTGGTAGAAAAACACAAGCAATACACGCAGTATAATTGCATTAACCAGAATGGCAGCATGTTCAAACCTGAACTCCAAGCATTTCCAAATCCTTCTAATAATGCATGCACGCCATGTTGCAGATTACTTTTCAGTTGTCCAGAGCATGCCTAGTTTTCAGTTCCGATATATAATACAGCTAAAACAGCGTCCTTTTTATATCACCAAGGAATCAAGTTTAACCTCCAGCTAAAGTAAAGCATTCACACCTATCGTCGGAACAATTCCACTAAAGTAGTGATCTAAACGCTCTTATATTTCTTTACCGAGGGAGTACATTGCAACCACAATCTTCTCACACTCACATCCCCACAGCCAGAATTTTCCATGTACATAGCATGACCCGATAATGCAGACACAATAAAGGAGAAGTTGATAGTGCCAATACCCCCGTAATGAATTGACCTGAATGTGAACACTGATCGAGGCCCCAAATCGCATTTCCCGTACCTCCATACGAACCACGATCACAGGCTCGTCCTGGAAACAGAACGCCGCAAACTCTTTCCCACCACCCAAATCACACCATCCGCGGTCCAGAGTCGGCAAACACAAACGGAGACGGGCCGAGCGCATGCCTAACCCTGGCGACAGATCGGAGACAGCTCGCTCACCTTCTCGTTCATGGTCTGGCACTTGGACTGCACGTAGGCGTCGGGGTCGAAGTTGTCGGTCTTGAAGATCTTGAGCTTGTCGGCGAGCTGCACCCCGCCGTCGCCGCCGCCGCCTCCACCACCACCAACCCCCGTCGCCGCCGCGCCCACCGGGAACACCCCCGAGTGGCCGGCCGGCCTCGACCGTGACGACTTCGCCGACGCCATCCGAGATCCAGAAGCCTCCGACGGTAGGGCGGTGGCGGATTTGAGGCGGGGAAGGGACGCCTTCTCCAAGATCGCCGCGTCCTGGCTGTCGTCGTTTTTTGGGGTGAGGGCTGGGGTATTTCTTATAGCATCCAACAAATATAAAAATGGTCTTTTAGGTGGACAATGAACCAACGAACATTAAAGGTCGCTGCAAAGAGTCAAACGGTCGAATTTACATTCTTAAGAAGTTGCTCCCCACTACAAGTCATTTTCTTAACATGCAAATAGTCTACCTCAGCATTGCCATGTCACCACTTCAGTTACATATGAGAATAGATGTCAAAACAATCTCTCGGTTATTCTATCTCTCTCACCAATCCCTCTTCTGCCTCTCCAACCGCCCAATAATCTCCCAATTAAATCCTCTACCCATTTATTTCCATCACAAATTTCCATTCATCTTCACCATCGAATAAATGCATGACTAGCAGAAACCTCCCTCTTCACCACAACGATTGGAAGCACATCAACCACTGTCTGGCCTAGATAACTGTTGCACCAGTCATCCACCCCAGGAGCATCACCCACCACCACCTACGAGTTTGAACCACGCAGGTTGCCGCCGGCGACGAGCGCGCCGTCGCCAGCCACCTGACCGTCAGTACTGCCCTCGACCAAGCTCCTGCGCGCTCCACTTGCCCCAATCATGCCGCGTTCCACCCCTAGCAACATTCCCAAACACCCGCCGCCAACCCAGCTGCATGCCGCGTGACACCGTCAACAGCCTCACCCATCTTCAGCTGTGGATCCACCTCCTCTAGCATCGATCTGTGCATCGTGTTTCGATCTCCCGCAGCCGGCCAACCTCCTTCGGCGTGCCACCGGGCACGGCTCCCACCCTCCTCCCTCACGCCCACGGAGCAGCGCTCGCCGTACACCCTAACAGCGGCGAGCGTCGCATGTGTTAGGGACCCCACCCTTCCCCATTGACTAGACTGCTCCTTCTTCCTTGATCTGAAGACAGCGATCTGGAGGAGCCCACGACGGTGTCCCGTTTCTTCTCAGGCAAAGCTCTTTTTTCTTCTAAGTAATGCTTTTTTCAAGGTTGTGTTCTGCTGAAATCTCTGATTACATAGAGTTGTAGCCATGGCGGTTATATTATGTGACTCTGAAGATCAGAGGCGGGCCAGATTTGGAGCATACTATGGGCTGACAATTGAAAATTTTCTTTGTGACATTAATCAACACATTTTCTCACTGATCTCTATACTTCTTATATACTGATCCTATAAGTGATACTGCAGAGTTACCATGATACATGAGTTTCACAGAAACATGAACACATGAGTACATTTGCTTTGGGACAGGGCGAATTTATTAGGAGACATATCAGCAGGTACTATATATATTACCTTAATCCCTGATTATATTGCTCAAATTAGCCTTGCTGTGCTATTTATTTGTTCCCTTCATCATACAAGTTAATAGTGCTCAGAGAAATTTTGAGTTTTCACTGCCTGTTAGTACACTATATTGCTAATTACTGTGAGGTTACCCTATATAATTTTATTTATTATTTTTCCCATACCTAATGTTTTTTTGCGTGTATACCTAATGTGATTATGTTTGCAGAGAATGAATGTTTGCATTATTTGCCATCCCATTGATACACGTTTATTGGTTGTTCTTCTAGATTATTGTAAAATTGTGCTATCTAATTTCCTACATCAGAACAATGAAACATGGATGGTTGTGGTACATGAAAGGCTGGCTCTATAGGATGTCGTACACACTTCATGTTTAAATCTTTCCTTCCAGTTGTCGTAAACATGTTGCCTCACTGTCGTGTCTCGCTTTCGCGGGAGATCTTGCAGCTTCCACTCATTGGCGATCTTAATGGAGTCGCTATGAACCAAAATATTCCGAGTAAATATGAATAGTCTATTCTCCCATTTTAGTTTCTTTGAAGAATCAATAAGTCCAAGTACAACACAACTTCTAATTGTTGCTTTGCCGCGAATGAACAATGCAAAATCAAATGAGTATGGAATTTTTAGACAAGGTACAACCTACAGGTATAAGTCTTTGAAAAAAATTATCATGCCGGTGCAAATAAAAAAAAAATTCTGTACAACATACTGCCTCCTTAGCAATTAACAGAACTATATCGATATATGCTATTCATGATGACTCTCTGGATTTTTGAAACATATATCTGAGCTAACTTCTCACGTGTATTTCACCTGTACTATCATATGCCCATACTTTATTTTTCCAGTTGTTAAGATTTGGCCACACAACTTTTAAGTTTTTTGTAGGTGAACAAATATCTCATTTGAATTGGCCATAGGCTAACCAAGTGTACTAGAATTACTTCAATGCTCTTAAAATCCAACATGGTTACTTGGGAGAGGAATTGGTGCACGTTAGTGATAATTTTCTTTATGTTTGTGCAGAAATATATTTGTTCAACATTTCAAATGTAAATATCAAATATTCCATTGGATCTCCAAAACCAATATTTAGAATGTAAATGTTTTGTTCAACATTTCAAGTTGTATCTTCTATTCATTCATACCAGATATGTTTTTCTTTGAATCTTCTTATGGAAAGCACAAAGTCCCGCAGCAACGCGCGGGGTATCATCTAGTTAAGGACAGTGTAACCGCACCTAATTCCTGCTCTGACGGTGATTTGAGTTTTTGACCGTCCGTTTTCGCGATCTGATAGTTTCTGGCCGTCAAATTTCATGTAAAAAGCGATTTGTTTTGCAGTCTGGCTAATCTAGCCCATCTATCATGTGGGCTGCTATTCCACGGGCCAAAACGGACGATTCTGGTGCATTGGGCCTTCGCGAGCCAGCAACCCATTCGAAGGAGGGAGGCCTACGAGCTACGCGTTGGGTCCATCCACTCCCGAACCCTAATCCTCTTGCCCAATCGGATCGAAGCTGGAGGGGAACGAGACTGCCGGTCGTTCCCAATCCCAATCCCGATCCATCTAGCCGCCCAATCCCGATCGAGGCTTAGGGAATCGAGACTACCGGTGGTTCCCAGCGACCTGAGGAGAGGAGCAGCGACCCGGTGAATCCCGACCGGAGGAACAGGATGCGTTAATGCGTGTGAAAAAAGGTGGGGGCGAGGGAGGTAATGGCGGGCTCCTCCCCTGCTTGAAACTGCTCTGCCCTCCTTAAGCTCGCAATCATGGTCCTCTGCTGGAAACTGCTCCTCTCTCCTTGAAGCTCGCAATCATGGCGTATTATTCATTCATGGCTGGTAAATTTGCAAGCTTTTCATATGCGTAGTGGTACTATATGATTTGGGTTTTTGACCGTCCGTTTTCGCGATCTGATAGTTTCTGGCCCAGATTTAATGTAAAAAGCGATCTGTTTTGCAGTCTGGCTAATCTAGCCCATCTATCCTGTGGGCTACTGTTCCACGGGGCAAAACGGACGATTCTGGCGCATTGCGCCTTCGCGAGCCAGCAGCCCATTCGAAAGAGGGAGGCCTACGAGCTACGCGTTGGGTGCATCCACTCCCGAACCCTTATCTGCTTGCCCAATCGGATCGAAGCTGGAGGGGAACGAGACTGGCGGTCGTTCCCAATACCAATCCCGATCCATCCAGCCGCCCAATCCCGATCCATCCAGCCGCCCAATCCCGATCGAGGCTTAGGGAATCGAGACTACCGGTGGTTCCCAGCGACCTGAGGAGAGGAGCAGCGCCCCGGTGAATCCCGACCGGAGGAACAAGATGCGCTAATGCGTGTGAAGAAAGGTGGGGGCGAGGGAGATAATGGCGGGCTCCTCCCCTGCTTGAAACTACGCTGCCCTCCTTAAGCTCGCAATTATGGTCCTCTGCTGGAAACTGCTCCTCTCTCCTTGAAGCTCGCAATCATGGCGTATTATTCATTCATGGCTGGTAAATTTGCAAGCTTTTCATATGGGCAGTGGTACCATATAATGCTTCCCTCCCTGGCTTTGTATGCACACCCTACTCCAGGATCTACATCTTCTTCAGCGATATGCTCAGGTATTTTACCTGTAAATTGCATCAGACAATTACAATGTCCTCATATCGTCTCACAGAAAAGATACTCATACCCTTTGCCAACAAAAATATGTGCAGGTGATGTTCATGCTACGTGTGCACAATTGATTTGGGCAGATTCTGCAGCTTCCAACTGTCCATTCTTGTGCTCAGCCGTTGATCATCCCTCAAATGGCTTTTGGACAGGTAATTACTCTGTACATTATCCTTTCATCTTTTGTTGTCAATTTTACTACTACGCCGCAAATTGCTTAAATAATATGTTCCTCTGGTATTCATATCATGCTCCTGTATGGAACAGGTGAATTAGAAAAGTAGTATTACAATGTGCAAAAAACGTAACCATTCCGTCGTAGAGGGAGCCGAAGCCTCAACATCTTTTGCCCATACTAATAAACGAGCGAAGTCCAATTCTATGGATAATTTTTTCCCTAAGTACCCAATGCGACATTCAAATGAAAATCGTCTCATCCGTATTAAATTCAGAAGACACAAGAAATTAGTACAATCAGGGCCATTGCGTGATGCCACTGGCCACATAGAATTGGCTCTTAGTGAGGGGAGTGCATTGGCATTTTGATTTGGGGAGTTCTTCAGTTTAGGCGCATTTGGGAATTCTTCAGTTTCCGATCTCCAATGGATAACAATTGTTAATTATGTTCTGAAATTAATTATTTGTTGATCTGATCATGCTCTAAGTTAAACTGATCTATGCAGATTCACCCATCGTATATTCTCCAAATAAGTATGGGAATGGTTTCTGTTTTTCCGTAAGAATGCATATACAAAAAATCATTTTGATGTGCCAGTTCTAGGTTCATATAGATGTCCATATCAGACCTATCAGACTAAAGCCTACTGACTATCTTGATTTTCTTGTATCTGAATTTGGATGTACCAACTGGTTTTTATGCTCGTGTATCACAGCAATGGCTATTGTGAGGGCAGCAGGGATACACCATTAGAACTGACCTTATTCTTTCAAGAGCTAAGATCTACTCTGATGTATCTTCCAAAAGCTCAAAAATATCAGGTTTAACTAATGGCAACACAGCCACGAACAGATTCAAGCATCTACCCCAGCCACTTCTTCACCACTCCAGGCAGAAGCGCAAGCACTTCTTCTTGCAGCCAACATATCCCAGCTCCTCCAGGTCTAGCAGCCCACTTTCCTCACAGATAATCTCACCCTTGCCAAGGAGGCGGCACCTAGGAACGTCACTGCTGACATTGTTCCTTGGGCGGTCAAAAAGCATCTTGCTCATTTCTACAGGACCACCGAAGAATTGCAGCCGCAGGTGTTTCACATCTCTAGGGAAAACAATGGTATTGCTCATAATGTAGCTCATTAGGTTCTGAATCATTCCATTGAACCCGTTTTTAGCTGTTTTGGTTCAGCTCATAGGTATAGAACATGCCATGTAATTTCTCTCCTCTCTTCTGTAAATCTCCAGGGTGTTTTTCTTTACGTTGTACAGTGTACAATGCTTTTGAGCTGGATGAATTTGTCGCCTTTGATGCTTTTCTCTGTTTAAGAAAAAGCTTATACAGTAATGATTACATGCTAACTTGTGCATACAAGTTTGTCATTTTACAGGTTCTGTTATTTGGAATACTTTTTTCCAGTATACTAAGCTCCTTTGAATGCATTACTAGCTGTATAGAATTATGGACCACCTCGATCAAAAAACACACATCTTCATATGCATTTTGAAAGCTGGTGTTTTTTCAAACGTTCAAAAATTCACTTCTCTTTGTACAAAAATCTTGACATTTGAACAATCTGA